ACTACAAAACCAAAATACCACCACTACCACCACACAACACAAGCACACAAAACAAACAAACCCAACACTGCAATTAAGACGAAATACAAACAAATTGCTCAGATGAACCTCAGCATTAGTTTTTTTTTTAAAGTGTGTATGTGTGTGTGTAAAAATGTGTTCAGGGGAGTATATGTGGTACATATGCACATATGCATGCTGGTGTGGTGTCCATGTTTATACAGAGAAGCCAGAAAAGGTCAACAGGGTCCCTCACTAAACTGGGAGCCATGCTAGTGGCCAGCACACTCCAGTGACCCTCCTGTCTCTGTCACAGCACTGGAGTTACTGATGACTGTACTGTCATGCATAGATTTTGACATGGACACTGGAGATTCCAATTCAGGTCCTCATACTTGTGCAGTTATCTCCTCAACCCCAGCATTAGTATTTTTTTTTTTAAAATTATTCAGTGTTTCCAATGTAAATCCAAGAAGAAAATCACACTCTCCCTTGACCAGGGATTATACATACATTCAAAATCACACAGCATTAGGTCAGCAAGTTGGTTCAGCTGGTAAAGCACTTGTACTCAAGCCTGAGTTTGATCCTCAGAACTGTGTGGAACATCTCCATGCATCTTCAGTGCCAGCACTCCTACTGTCAGATGGGAGATGGAGACAGAGAAAACCACCAGAAAGCTCATGGGCCACCAAGCCTAGAGGTGGCAGCACAGGAAAAACAGCAAAGACCCTCCATCAACAAGGATATCCAACTCCTGAAAGACCCTACATCAACAAAGACCCTCCATCAACAAGGATATCCAACTTCTGAAAGTCATCTTTTGACTTCCACATGTGCACACACACTCACTTGCAAATACAGAGGCAGAGGCAAAGCAGGGCAGGCAGAAGTTTTAGGGTGTGGCTGACTGGGGCCAGTTGGGACTTAACCTCTGATCACTGCTGCTTTACAAGAAAGAGCTTAACATGTCATTCATTTTCTCTCTCTTCAAAAATCTTGATTTAAACATATTGGCAACTAGAGCAAAATTAATGATGAAACCACCTCATGTACAAAGTAAATCATCGGTGGGAAGATTCGACACTGGCCTGTTGGTTTGAAACCTCTACAATGACTAATTTCACCCATACACTTCAACTTAAACCTAAAAATGTATGTCTCCAGTTCTATGCTTTTCCCCCCATGTGTTCTGAACTGTCAAGTGCATACATGACATGTTTAAATGAAAGTTTAGCATCCCAATGAGAACGATGACTTATGTCCACCTCAAAACTATCCCTTTTGATGGCCTCTATTTCAGGTAACAACTCCACTATTCACAGTTTTGGGCAAACTAGTGCTCTGGAATTCATCCTAGGATGGTTCTTTTTTAACCCTTAACATTTGTGCCATTATCTTCTAAATGAGTGGTTCTCAATGTCCTAATGCTGTGACCCTTTAAATGCAGTTCCTCATGTTGTGGTGACTCCCAATCACAAAATTATTCCATTGCTATTTCATAGTGTAATTTTGCTACTATTATTAATAGTAACCTAAATATCTGCTATGCAGAATATCTGATATGAAGACCCAGGGGGTCTTGACCTACAGGTTGAGAACTGTTGTTCTAAATCCTATCAACCATGACTCTTAAATACATTTCATACATACATGTATTTCTTTCTAGCTCTATTGCTATCATCCCAGTCCCAGTTGTCATCTTTTAATGTTTTAGCTACCTTGTTCAAATCATTTTTTCCATATGATGATCTTTCACAAACATATTTGGTCCAGTAATCTTATTTCTATCAATTTACCCCACAAGTATACTCATACACATATGAACTGGCATATTTACAGTGCTCTTTATAATAAATTAAAAACATTTACATGCTCATCAATAGGAGAACATATACATCAAAATGGATAAATTCCCAAGGGACTGTTAAAATAACAGAGCACAGTGTGTTACCATTTGTGTAAACAGGATGCCTATTCAAAAAAAAAAGTTCAGAATGGTAAACAAAACTATTACCACTGTCTATCTATTCAGAGGCATAGAGGAAATAGTGGCTGAACAGAAGATATTGTGATATAATGGACCTGGAGGAAGGCCCAACACTGTTGGTTTAAGTCCCTGCATGAGTCTAGAGGTCGGCTGGACTGAGAAATCAATCAGTAGCAGAGAGCTTCCACCTACTTCCCTACTCGTTTTATATCATTCTGCCCCTAACTCTTCAAGTTCCAGCCATACTAGCTTCTGGGTTCCCAAGAAAAAACTATTCTTTTAGGATTCACAGTTCTTCCTTCTGTGTAGAATACTGTCCCCCAAGCTTTACTTAGCAAGTCCGTACTTATCCTCTGAGTCCATCGCAAATGTTACTTCCCCCAAAGAAACATTCCTCAGTTTCCAGACTAGGTCAAGATGAACATTTTAGGTACTCAGGGAAACCTGTACTTCGCCTTTCAGAATTTAACACAGCTGTAATGAGATAACTGTATAATTACACGTTTACACCAGTTACCTTTTTAGACTACACAGACCAGAAATGCAGATATCATACCAGTTGCTTTTATCTTTGTCTTCCTAGACCTAACCTGCCATCCAGTTAACAAAGTAGGCTGCCACATATAAAATGAGCGACTTCTCTTGCCCTAAGGTTAGGAAAGCAGACAAAGTCAACACATCAGCAAACAAGGGCAATGCAGTCCTGGGATTAAGGACAGTCATTTTACTGTGATTAAACAGTCAGTTTACAATAGTAGTTTTCAACTATGGAAAACGTGACCCTTTCTGGGGGATACAACTTGGGGGCCGAATGACCCTTTCAAAGGGTTACCTAAGAACACCAGAAAACACAGATATTACGATTCACAACAGTTGCAAAATTACAGTTATGAAGCCGCAATGAAATAATTTTATGGGGTCACCAAAGCATGAGGAACCATATTTAACTGACGAAGCATTGGGAAGGTTGAGAACCACTGGTCTAGAAGCGCTTCTGATTGTCATTAAGTATATGTGTAGCTAGGATTCTAAGTCAGGAACGTGGCTAACCATCCTCTATTGCACAGGCTAGCCCTCCATAACAAAGTATTATCTGATGTAAAATGTCAATAGTACCATGGATGAGAAACCCTGATAGGCAATACTTAAAAGTCAATCCTACTCCTTGCTCTGGCGGTGTGTGTGTGTGTGTGTGTGTGTGTGTGTGGTGTTTGTTGTTGTTACTATTGTTGGGGGTGGTGGGGGTGGTGACTGAAAGGACTGTCAAGAAGAGTTGAAAAGCTTGAGTTACTTGTTGAAAGCTGACAAAGGCCAGATCACTTGGAACTATCCTGATCAGAACTGAGTCGCTGAGTTTATCACCTTCAAATATCCTGTACTCCATAATCGCCCAACCCCTTTATTCTCTTCCTGCTCAGGCAAAACTTCCTTTCTCTCAGGATACTTGGTTTCGCTGAACCTCACAGCCAGACCAAGATAAAGTCAGACAGCCCCTTCGCTATGTAGAATGCTAAGCACAGTGACAGTTACAATGTGCAAATCTTATGCATGGAAGTAAAGCAGTAACTGTTTACTCTTCAGGCTGTCAGTGTATAAAGCTATCACTGAATCCAATAACAACACTGGTCCTGGTAAAGACTTCTCCAAAGGCTTTCTATTAAAACAAACAAACAAAACGCACCAAAACTTCGTATTCCTGATCTGAGCTTCCAGATTGCATAAAAGATCCAAGGTCCCCTCTCCCCCAGTATTTCATGACATAAGTCTGTCAGAAATGACCAGAGAGCCTTTTGAATGCAATAAACGTAAATAAATCGCGTGCAAATCAGAAGCCATCTGTAGATTTTTTTTATTAAAAAAAAAAAAAGCTTTCAGCAATGGAGACCAGTGAAGGAAATTGAGATAATTTTTAACGATGCCAAGGAAAAAGCCCTGTGTTTTACTACAACACGAGTCTGCTGCCTGCTTAGCTGGACACCCATGCTCTGACCTAGTATGGCAATTTTTAGGGTCCCTGGACTTGATGCTCTGTTTACAAGAAACTGAGGCCAGACACTAAAGAAGAACAAAGAAAAATGCCTGGCACCAAAGAGGCGGGGGACGTTTTGTACATAAATGAAGATCCGAGGAGGAACTCTTCTTAGATTTTGAAAGGCACTACAAAGCATTCCCTTCGCTAGGGTGTTAACGCGTTTATTCTGTGTTTGCAAACTATTTTCTACAAAGAAAATGTCTTATAATTTACAAACAGTAATCCGTCTCCCCACCACCACCCCTCCTCATTTGCAGAGCATCGAGAAGGATAAAATTTCTTTAGGCTTTATCAGAGTGGGAGGAATGGAAATAATGTGAGCACTACACAGTTCCGAGGCAACATCAACTCCAAGCCCGGCCAGCTGGTTTCCATCGAGCGGTCCCCAAGGAGAACGCCCCTCCAAGGCGGCGGCCGGGCCGGCGCGACCGTGGGAGCTTCCGAGGCCCTCGCAGCTCAGCCACTCGGCCGCCCTCTACCTTTGTTTCAGGTGCCCCTGTTCCCCGAGTGGCTGAGATCCCGCCCGCAGCCCCGAACGGGTGACACATCCTTCTTTGGCCAAGTCTGGCCGAGGTCGGGCAGGGGGCGGGGAAGGAAAATAAAGCCTCAGCGCAGAACGACGTGACTCTCAGTTCTTCCAGAACCCTGGTATTTGCTGCCTTGCCAAGCTTTCCTGTTAACGAGTTCCCGGGCCGGGCGTCCCGCGAGGTGGGAGGCGCCGGTCACCCTGTCCCCCGGCCTTCTCGGCGGGACACTCGGGCCAGCGCTCTCCTCCGCCGCCGGTCCCGGGAGTCCTCCGGCGAGCCTGCGCTCCACCCGGAGTCCCCGCACCGCGCGCGGCCCCTGCGGCCAGGCCAGTCCCCGCCCCCGGCCCCGCCCGCCCCGGCCTCCGCGCGCCGCCCCTCGGCCTCGCCAGCCCGCCGCGGGCCGGGGGCGCAGACAGAGAGCTGGCCTACTGCCCTGCGTCCGTGCACCTACCTTAGTGCCCGCCGCTCCTCCTTCCGCGGCTGCCTCGCCTCTCAAGCGACGCGCCACACACCGCCCCGGCTTCCCGCAGCGCGGGGTCTGGGCCGCTTTCGCCGCGCGTGAGGAGCCCAGGCCTGAGTGCGCCCCGCCCAGCCGCCCAGCCACCCGCCAGCGCCTCGGCCCCGCCCTCCGGCCCCGCCCACCTGGCGGCCCCGCCCACCTGGCCGCGCCTGGTCCCCCTGAGAAAGGGGACCCTGAGGGGCGCCAGGAGAGCCGCGGCGGCGGCAGCCGCCGCTGTGCACTGCTTTGTATAACGGAGACGGCGAGTCGTCCTGTTTGGCGAAGGAGTTTCATGCTAAAAGTATGCGTTTTATGATGGCCATCATTGTTTTTATTGCCCTTTTTACTGTCCTCTTCGTTAACTGTCTACCCTTCTGGGAGTTTATGTGAGCCAGACTACCGTCTACACTCCTCGCGGTAGCTCGCACCTGCACGTTCTTTTTCGCTCAGCCCAAACTGTGTGAGTTTTGAAAAAAAGAATTTGTATTTATTTTTTTAAACGTATTGTTAAATAGAATTTTAAAATTGCTAAAATAAACAAAACTACATAAAACAAATGCACAACTTAATGGGATTGTTCCGAAACATTTGCAGTCTTGCTGCCTGAACCTTTGACCCTAGCTAAAATAATAAACAAGGTTCGCCTTTGCTAAAACTGGGAAATAAATGGATGGCTGGACTAGGGACATAGCTCAGTTTGTATAGTGCCTACCACCACATAAAATCACATAAACTGAGAGAGTTGACACAAGCCTGTAATTCCAACTCTACAGAGGTAGAGGAGGCAAGAGAACCAGAAGTTCAAAGTCATCCTTTGCTATATTGCTAGTTTGAAGCCAACTTGGTCTACATGAGTATCGCAGCTCAATGACAAAAATAATGCACGTTCAATTCTGAATTGGAAAGTCAATCATTATAGAAGAATATAGATAACAAAAACAAGTTGGTCAGTCAAGAGAATGAGCAGTGTGAGTGACATGCAGGGAGAGATGAAGAGACAGATGTAGGAAGAGCCAAGAACAGGACAGCTGTGAGGACAGGCTCTGGGTACATGGCTTGTCCCTTTGTTTCTGTCGACGGCTCTTAGCATGGCACCAGTAAGTGTCTTATGTGTACACGTGAATACATCCATTATACATTTATGTATGGTGCAGGTGAACAGCATGAATAGCGTTTCACCTTCTGTAGCTGTGTGTAAGCTTGATTACAAGAAGTATTTTTTATTTTTAAAAGAAAAATGTATGTAAAATTTCCCCAAACAGGCTTTATTTCCTGAACCATTTCACCAGGTTAGTCTTTCCAGTAGCTAAAATATGGTCTGTGGTGCCTTGGAAGAAAAAGAATACAAATCATTCATTACACACCCAACTTTATGCCTTCCCATTTGAAAAGGCCTTTCACACAGAATGTCTCTCCTCTGAGTCAGAGCAGTCCTGTGAGGAAGGCAGAGCAAGACACAGAGGTGGCAAAGGTCACAGAACAGTCCTGATAGTAAGGACAGAAAGTACACCGTGACTCACAAAAGGACTTCAACACCTCCCTCCCAGCTTCTACCTTAGGACTCCGGCAGGGCATTCACCTCTCTACCTGGTCTCAGTGGAACGTGAAGGACACAGTTCCTCCTGGGCCTAGAGGCACAGGCCTGCGATTCTGGGTCAGAGGCGTAGGAACAGGAAGGAGTTCATATCTGGCCATGGTTCCTAGCGCGTTGGAGGCCAGCCTGGGCTACCTGTGAATCTGTCTCAATAAATAGGAAAGTAGATAAATAAAACTCCCATTCCAGAAAAGGACCCAATTCATGCCTGGAAATTTGGTTCCATACAATGGAACTAGTTCCTCTGCCATGGGTAGCTCGGTGAATTGTCAACTCCCCACAAATTACTGGGCCCCAGACTCTTTGGAAGGTGTCTGGATAAGAAAGAACATACAGTTTTTGCTTATGGTCAAGAAATGAAGAAATTTGAGAACAAATGAGTAATTTGTTATGATATTAGAGGAATTGTCTTGAACATAATTCCATTGGGGTAGAGAGAGAGAGAGAGAGAGAGAGAGAGAGAGCAGTAAACATTTTCTCATGCAAGAGGACATCTGAACAATTTTATGATGAAAAATGTCCAGGAGGAATAATGATAAATATCAAATATTTTTCCTGCAAATATATAAAATAAAAAATTCTGACGCAGAAAGAACAAGAAACATTGTGCACCTCCTACTCAGATTAACAATTACTATTCCACGGCTAATTTTTTCCATCTTTACATTCCTCTTTGCTTTCCTGGGTTATTTGGAAGAAAATCAGAGTATTATTTGGCCTGTAAATATTTCACTATGATCATTAAGTAATAAGACCCATTTAAAAAGAATATTATAAAATTATTACGGTATATGACATAGCATTCAAATTTTCCATGAATGTCTTATGAGTTATTTTAAAATGCAGGACCCAAGCAAAGTCCTCACAGTGCATTTGGCTTTACTATCTCTTTCTCTACATTAAAAAATTTTTAGTTATGTGCTGACTTATCAGTGCTGGGTATTGAACCTAGGGCCTTGTGCTTGCTGAGCAAGCACTCTTGCATGGGACCAAATTCTCAGCCCCAGAATTTGGCTAGTCTCTTAAATCTTTTTCATTCCTTGCATGTTATGATTTATTTTAATTATTTGAAAAGTATGTGTAGATGTTTATGTCCGGTTGTGAGAATGGGCATGTGGATGCAAGAGCCCAAAGAGTTCAGAAGAGGGAATCAAATTCCCCTAAAGAGGAGTTCCAGGCAGTTGTGAGCATCCAATGAGGGCCCTAGGGACCAAACTCAGGTACTTTACAAAAGCAGTATCCACTCTTAATCTTTTTGCCATGCCCCAGCTCTTCTCTTTGCACTTTACATGCTGTTAAAGAGATGGGTACTTTGTGGAGTTTTCCATGTTCCACATTTGTGTAATGTGGTGTTTTGTAACACGAATTTCTAATTGGTCTTCATAATAAAAACCCACAGTCAGATATAGGGGTTAATGCTGAAGATCAGAGAAGCACAGTGGCCAGCCACTGGAGAGTTCTTACCTCTACCAATGCTCAGACCAAAGGGGCGATCCTGTCCTCTGACTGTATCTCCAGACTGTCTCTGTCGCCATCAAACCTTAGACTGCCCTGAGCTCCTCTCTCCTCCTGCCTTATGTTCCTCTCTCTGCCCAGCCATATCACTCCTATCTCTACCTCCCCAATGCTGGGATTAAAGGAGCAGGATCCCAAGTGCTGGAATCACCCTTGTGTGAGTTCTGTTTCTGTTTTAGACAGATTCACTCTCCTGTAGCCCAGGATAGCTTTGAACTCACAGAGATCCCTCTGCCTCTGTCTCCCTAGTGCTGAGATCAAGCATGAGTCCTACCACTCTCTAGCCTGTAGTGGCTTGCCTCTGTACTCTGATTTTCAGGCAAGCTTTATTTTTTTTTTAAACACAAACAAAATATCACTGGAATGTTTACCATATGCCTTTATCCCCTTTGTTTTCCATGCACTGCTAGAACAAGAGGCTTGATGTTACAGGAAAACATAATCTATAATGAGAAAATCAAAGCATATACAAAACTGTCATAGATATCAGAATTAGCAGACAAAGGCATGAAATCAATTGCTTTATATTCAAAATGTTCAAAAAGTTGGAGTCAGAGGACACATAACAAAGACCCAAAATGTACTTTTATAGATGCAGACTATAATGTTTTAGATAAAAATATGCTGACATCACTGGATGTACCAGTGCACACCTGTAATTTTAATTGCCTCCCAGATAGAAACTGGAGTATTGTGAGTTCTAGGCTAGGATGGGCTACATAGCAAAAGGTCACAAAAAGAAAAAGTTGGGCATGGTGATGAATCCCTGCTATCTATCCCAGCAATCAGGAGGCAGAGGTGGACAATTACTGTGAGTTCAAGGCCATTCTGGGGTACATAGTAAGCTCTAGGCCAGTCTAAGCTACATGGTAAGACCCTACTTTAAAATAATTGAGTTGGACTAATGGAAAATTAAATATTGTTAAACAAAAAAGATTTGTGAACTTCAAGTCATATCACTAGAAATTGTCTAAAATGAAACATTCAAAGAAAATGAAAAGAAGATTAATAATATGTGAGACAACTATAAATCACTGGTCATGTCTAGATAGAGGAGTCCTTAAGGGGAGGGGTACGAGAACAAAAATATGTTAGAATAGATAATAGTCATGGCTTCCAAAATAGGATGAAAATCATGTACATGTATGATGGGGGAGTCCCCTATGTGTGCTGAGATTACCATTAATGAATAAAGAAACTACCTTGGCCTGTTGATAGGGCAGAACTTAGGTGGGCAGGGAAAACTGGACTGAATGTTGGGAGAAGGAGGGTGGAGAGAGGGAAGCCATGGAACCTCCACCAGAGATGGATGCTGGAACTTTAGCTAGTAAGCTACTGCCATGTGGCGATACACAGATTAATGGAGATGGGCTAAATTAAGATATAAGAGTTAGCCAATAAGAAGCTAGAGCTAATGGGCCAAACAGCGATTTAATTAATACAGTTCCTGTGTGATTATTTTAGTTCTGGGCTGCCAGGATGAACAAGCAGAGAGCAGCTGGGAACCAACAAGTGGCCTTCTCCCACACGTGTACAAAAACTTGGTATCTTCTGGGGTTTTGTTTCAAGATCCATCTCTAAAATTTATTCATGTTCAAATCGTATTTAATAAGTGCCATAGCAGTTTTTTAGGAATGTCTCAGCAAGACAAAACCTCTCTCTTGGCAAAGAGAGTACACCACTCACAAAAGCAGAAGAACAAGCAGTTATAATACTTTCCTATAACTGTGGACAGTCTTTGGTATCCTTTAAATCATACCTAGTTAGTTATAATAGCTATTTTAATGTAGTCACTATATAAATAGTTGTTATACTATATTATTTAGCAAATAGATAATGGGGAAGTGTGATTATAGTCAGTATCTTAGTTACTCTTCTATTGCTGTGAAGAGACACCATGTCCAAGACCTGTTCTGGCCTAGGTCGCTCATGTAACACAACTTTACCTAGTTAAATATTCCACAGGACACGGCAGATAGAAAATATTTGGGAAAACAG